TGGCTTTGCACATTGTACCATCATTCGACCGCATGCTTATCTCTTCCGTCAACGTAGCACACTGGCAGGAACGTTATCCGCAGCTCTTCCAGAAGTCCATCGGCCGTATTCCATGTGGTGTGCATCGAATTCAGCTGAAACCGAATGCGAAACCGGTCGCCAATGGTATACCTCGACCCATTCCGCTAGCGAAACGTGAAGCGGTCTCAGCAGCCCTGCAAGCGATGCTAACAAATGATTTGATTGAACCCATCGATTGCTCTGAGTGGATGCATCCAATGTTTAGTGTCAAGAAAAAAGACGGTACTGTCCGGATATGCAAAGATTTGCAGGCGCTGAACAAACAGATCGTCGTAGAACGCTTCGTTTTGCCATCTAATGATGAACTCACTGTACGTTTAGCTGGTGCAACTGTTTTTTCCAAGCTAGATTTGAAAAGTGCATTTTTCCATATACCATTGACCGATGATTCCAAACACCTAACTGCCTTCCTCGCTCCTGATGGCCTATTTCAGTACAAAGTCTTACCCATGGGTTTGAGTTCCGCGCCCGCCGCCTGGCAAAAGTTCATGACTGACGCCCTGGCAGGTATCGATGGGAAAGGTGTCTACATGGATGATATTTGTGTTTTCGGCCGCTCACAGGAAGAACATGATGAAAGGTTACACGAAGTCCTCCAGCGCCTCAGTGATCTCAATTTGCGTCTGAACGCAGAAAAATGTCTCTTCAATGCACCAGAAATTCAGTTTTTGGGACACGTCATTTCACGCAGTGGCATTCGACCAAGTGATGAAAATATCAGGGCCATCTCTGAAGCGCCAACACCTAAAACCTTGACAGAACTAAAGTCCTTTTTAGTAACGTACTCTTATAACCTGCGCTATCTGCCGGATTTTTCGACTGTGGCAGATCCATTACGACAATAACAAAGAAAGGATCGTCGTTCGTTTGGGGCAGCAATCATCAAAATGCCTTTGATGGACTGAAAAGGAGAGTTGCGTCTGCTCCGATAGTTGCCAATTTTGACGAATCTTGCAGCACCTTTGTGTCCACTGACGCGTCTGATGTCGGTCTCGGGGCTGTCGTCTCACAAATACAAAACGGAGAGGAGTAATTTATTGCCTACGCATCACGAAAGCTATCAGATTCCGAACGTTATTATTCAGTTGGGGAAATGAAGCCCTTGCATGTGTGTGGGCCTGTGAAAAGTGGCATTTATTTCTGTTCGGTCGTCGTTTTATTCTGCGTACTGGCCATTCAGCCCTAACAGCTCTTTTCAGTAATGGATCTAAAGGATCTCGCTCAATACGAATCGATCGCTGGTACGCCAGGCTTCTTAACTACGATTTAGAAATTGTGTACCGGCCAGGTTTGCAAAATCAGATTGCTGACGGACTATCTCGCTTACCCTTGGGGTCGGAGGATGAAAAAGAGGGACTCAGAGACGTGGTTCTAGTTTCCAGTCTCGGAGCTAACCTGCCTGCCCAGAAGATCGAGGAACTACGAAGGGAAAATTCTAACGATTCTTTACTGCATGAGATTATTGAATACGTGAAGCAGGGCTGGCCCAAGAATAAAAAACTCCCCGCTGAGTTCATTCCGTATTATGCAATTTGACATGAACTACCAGTGGTAGACGGTTGCCTGATGCGCGGTTCGGTGTTCGTAGCTCCGCGCCGGTTGATAGCCAAGATAATAGCTTGCGCACATGAGGGACATCCAGGTATAGTTCGGACCAAAAATCGAGTGTGACTGTATTTCTGGTGGTCACGAATGGCATCTAGCATTGAGACATTTGTGGTCAATTCAATGCTTCCCGATTAGCGGACAAAAGTTCTTTGCCTGTTAAAGCCCCGACACAGCCAATTGCTTACCCGATGAAACCACGGACCAAAATCGCCACTGATATTATGGTCCCTTTCGCTACTGCTCCTACGAATGAGCGCAATCTACTTGTGGCTACATGTTTTTACAGTAGATGGCCTGAAGTACACATGTGCGACCATGTTACTAATTCGGTTGTGTTACGTTGGCTTAAACACTTGTTCAGCCGTTTCGGTTTACCGCATGAAATAGTAACGGATAACGGGCCGCAATTTTGTAGCCGCGAATTCGCAGATTTTCTACATTGCCATAACATTATGCACACCAGAACTGCGCCCTACAATGCTGCAGCCAACGGCATGTTAGAACGTTTAAACATGTGTCTAAAAGAAGCTATACACGCCATACACATAGGAGGTTCGGACTGCGAGGATGCAGTTTTAACTGTGGTTTTTTCCTACAGAACATGTGACCACAGAGCCACCGGAATAACGCCAGCAGAGCTGATGCTAGGAAGGCCCTTACACACAAAGTTAAATGCTGCACATAACGTTTTATCAGCGAGAGATGCCGAAGTTTCAAATCGCAAAGCATCTTACCAAAATTCCTACGCTAAACCATCAACACCAATGCAGCCCGGGACATACGTTCGCGTCAAAAGCAGAGCGACAAAGAAAGGCACACCTTCGCTTTCCGTCCCATTGCGCACCGACCGTACGCTTAGCCCGGCACCTATCAATTGGAGAACGGCCTAATTGTCAACGCGAGTCGACTCCACACAGCTCACGGACCAGGTAATCAGCCCGGCCGATCCGCGCGCGAAGACCCGGCTGAGTTACCATTACCACGAAGTCAGCTGCGTCGGTCCGCGAGAACGGTGAAAACTATTGATTGCTACGAACCAGGTTGAAGCAGCTTTTCGGTGGGGGAACGATAATGTGGTAACCAATTTAGCAACATCGATTGGCTCGATCTCATTGGTTGGCTTGCTGACTCATTCTTATCTTCCTATTGGTTGTGTGTGTCTGTCGCTTTACTCTCCGTTTAACAAGGGATTGACTCAGTTGTACTTGGTTAATTTGGCGAGACACATTTTACCTTTCCTACGGCTTTCTTGATACAACAGGTATATATGCCGAAGTTAATATTAATAAGAGGATTGTAAGGATAGAAATCGTATCTGCTTTGTTACTTATATTGGAATATTCATGCGTCATTTTCCCTTACAAATTAAGAAAGGGTGGATATATAATATTTTAGCAGGATACATTGAATTCTGGTATTTCGATTATTCTCAACAGCCTTTTACATACCTAACGTGAAAATATTTCGTATCGTCTAAAATGGAAGCAATGTATAAGGTAATTCACTTCAAAGGAAAAAAGCAATTACCTTATCAAGGAAAGGCAGAACTAGTTATAAGTACTGTCTGCTTGCGTAATTTGGGATTTTACCGCGAACAACTGCAGCCCCGCCAAACTGAAGCAATCGGGCATTGCTCTGCAGCTTAAATATTTAAAGGAATCACAAAGAAGTTGGCACGCAGTGAAGTCCAGGATGTGTTGCGTGTTGGAGCTAGCCCGCAGCTTGGAAATGTTAACGACCATGTTTCGTGGAAGTTGCTCTGAAATCTCAGCGAACAGACACCTCACAGTTCGGTCAAGGTACTTGTTACAACAAGAAGAGTGGAGGAGGAAAACCAGGATGCAGTACCTTTAGGGTATGGCTTGTCCATCTGCTATAACACCTATTTGGTCGCATAATAACATTTATCTACTGCCTGGCGGCTGCAGTGCCCAGATATTCTATCATTTTGTTACCTCATAAACGATAGCGTAATTAACTCATGAAACGTTATCACGCGGCCAAACCGGTTTTATCGCACAAACTTAAGAAGTTGCTCTGTAGATCCTAAATAGACAAGCCACAATCTCATTATACGGCCACTTTTTATCTCTTCTAATGTACTTGTGATAGGAAGCATGTCGGCCGTACTGAGAGGAGTCTCTCCACTAAGATTTCAGAGCAACTTCCATCAAACGTGTGCGCTAACGGTCCCAAACGGCTGGCCATTCCATAGCGCAATACATCCTGGCACTACCTTCCCGCTTCCTCCTAATTCGTTTAAATTTGCAGAAAAATCATGATATCGTTTGATGCCTAGTCGCTGTTTACATAACTTCCAATTCTCGAGATGGTGGATTACGTGTGCGAGCTGACGCGGCAACTGTCAATCTACGCAACCTTTCAGGAGGATTTGTTAAAGAAGATACTACTTCACTGCACTTTAAATGTTCAATTTACCCGTACTAATAAGGGTAACCGTCTGATTGACGGAGCGAACATGGGATCTCTTTTGGGGCCGTTGTTGGCTGATAACATTATAGAGAAATTAGAACATGGCCTCAGTCTGAACCACATATGTGGAACTAAAAAGTACTTAGGGTATGTCTATGACAACTTCGAGCTTAGCGAATCCGAAAAAGATACGAAACAGTTGCTGAAAGTATTCAATGACGCACATGAGAATTTAGATTTCATCTCTGAACACAAAAACGGTACCCGATAAGGTTATTGGGCGTAAAAGTCGTGCGCAACTCGGATGTCTCATGTAGCAGAGGGGTGCTCAGAAACATCAATGGACCGGATAGCACACACACTTTTACAGAGCAATGCCTTTACAGCACGAGCTTAATCCAATCACTTACCTTCAGAGCACGCATTATGTGCACTCCGGATCCCGTTAACGAATAACTAAAGTGAATCAGCACATGGTTACTCCGGTACGTTTACCATGAAGCAGCTGGAGGAGCGAAAACAAAAGCTACCTAAGAGCATTGATCTCAAGAAACTGCTTTTCACACATTTGACAAGTAAAGGTTATTCTGCAGCTGCTAACTTATCTCGACGTCTGATTGACGTTGTTTAGAAAAGTCATTTGGTATCCCGCTTGAGAATGGTTTAACACAAAAAGCCATTACTTACGAAACTCTTGAAAGGTAGCCTGCACACGTTGACCACGTCAAGGCACGTTTGTCAGTATGCCTGCTCCTGTGGTGCACAAAACGCGGGTCGCACAAGGAGACGCCTATCACAGAGGATAGGCGTGCACTACTCGGTATGGTATTATATAGGCGAAATGAGGTACGCAAACGGTTCAATCTTGTCGCGCCTCCATGAACGTGGCCATGCTGCATCTGCGAATAAGTTTAAAGTCATCTACTCCCTACCTGAACGCTGCTTCAAAGGATTCCGGAAGTAAGTTTTGTCTATTGCTGAGACTATTTACACCTACACTCTGAAGCCGGAATTATGTGCGTAAAATGATTCATAAGGTCGATAATACCACCGTGGCCAACTGACACCGTTACTTAGTTACACATTTGTGTCCTTACCTATTTAATTTAGACTGCTGATGTTTGGAAATTAAGGTTTTTTTGGTGCACTTTGCCAGCCATATTTGGCCGACTTAAGCCATCCATTTTTATCGTTAATATTCATTAGCAATTAACCTCAGCCCGATTTCACACTTTCCCATTAGACGATCAGCGTTATCTAACTGTTTGGGTCTGATGAGACTTTAACGAAATGAATTGTTAACTCTAAACTGATTTCTAAGCTAGATTCATGTCAACGGAATGGGGATATTTGCTCTGCTGAATAACAGCATTACCCGTGATTATTTGAAATTATCCTCTCATTTGACGTCATTGCACACTTCACTTTGCGCAGTCACGAAATTGCGAATGAAATCATGGTAGTGCTATTTCAGAATCAGCTAAGCACAACAACAATCATGCAACCCGGACATGTTGGAAGTTTTAGACCCTTACAGTACAAATTATTTCCGCTTTGGTGGACAGGTATGCTATCAGTTAAAACAAAAACCAATGGGACACGCAATAGCTGGACTTATTACCGAAGATTTGCTGCAGTAATTAGAGCGCATTGTACTACCATCCATCAGTTTAAATATTTAGATAATTGATTTGTGTGACAAATGAGTCATCATAAAACGAAACGGAATACGGATGTTGCAAGAGTTGCTCAATAACAACCTCATTAATATAAATTTTTGCAGTTGAATTGGAGAATGAGAGCATGTTAATATGTATGGATGTATGGCATTTTGGCGTTTGTAGGCACGCTGAATTCGATTTACTAACCGCGTGCTTGCATGCTAAGTCTCTTTATTTCAGGTGGTGAGTTTACAGTTTTTACCTTACTGCTTTTCTTTCTCATATAAATATCTCCCTGTACTCTATTCCATTAACTTGCACACATCGCTTCAGCCAATTGTATTCGATTTCCATAACTTTTTTGTGTTCGTGTCATACCGCGAACTATACTTCCTGACCTCGTGCACTTAGCTAGGATTTGTTTGTAAACAACTTATTACGCATGCTATTTAATTAAGGTTTATGTCACCGTTTCCTTATGCATTAATCGAGTTTTTCTCTTTCTCTTTTTCTTTCTCTCTCTCAAGTGATTGGCTGTTTTTGATATCCCCGGTGTGGCTGCGCTTGATGTGCATGTTGACAAGGTGCCTACCTGTCTATTACTCACTACGTCGTCCATACTGGCTCCAGGAGACAGTTGGTCGTTGCTGGAGGGGACGGGGTGCAGGGTCCTTGTGGCCGTGTTAGGCTCAAAGAGTGGTTCCATGCACTCAGTGTGGAGCGGACTACGGTCCAGCCACCGCCTTGTGTGCGCTTGATTCCCCAAATACAGCGTGCTTGTGTTTGCCTGTGAAGGAGTGTGGGCCGGCTCCGTTGATGAAACGTGGTTCCCATCCGCATGCCTCCCGGTCTTATTCCTTCTGGTTTACACTGGATATGGGGTGTGTGGTTATAGCTGTGGGAGGTGCAGCGCAAGCCATCCATGGTCCCTCTGTAGGCGCGGGCGTCCTGTGGTTTGCCACATTGACAGGCAAATCCGAACCCGGATGCCGCCAACCATGTATGTGTGTCCCATGCTGAGGCTGATGTTGCATTCTTGATGCTTCTTCACCGCAGTTGGGCTAAACCAACTTACACTTAGACTAGGTCTTTTTCAGCTGGATAAATTTCATTCCGCTTTATTTGGTTTGTTCTGCCTCCCTGAATAATGTTCTATTAACTGGCCACGTTACTTACACTAATTGCGCTTATCTTCGGTAATTTTGTTGCGTTTGTAGCATTTTAAGTAACTTGTGGACATTTCTTACTTATCACGGATTTGTTGCTGACCAACTTACTTCATATGGTAATTTAGCGAAGAGTTATGCCACCGTATCTGTATGCATTATTGGATTTATTTTATTTCAGCTTGTTGTTTAAATTGAATGGCTGTTGTTTGATATCCCTGGTATGGTTGCGCTTGATGTGTAGGTTGACAAGGTGCCTAAGTGTCTATTACCCACTACATCGTTCATACTGGCTCCAGGGGACAGTTGATCGTTGCTGGAGGGGACGGGGTGCACGATTCTTGTGGCCGTGCTAGGCTCAAAGAGCGGTTCCATGCACTCAGTGTGGAGCGGACTACGGTCCAGCCACCGCCTTGTGTGCGCTTGATTCCCCAAATACAGCGTGCTTGTGTTTGCCTGTGAAGGAGTGTAGGCCGGCTCCGTTGATGAAACGTGGTTCCCATCCGCATGCCTCCCGGTCTTATTCCTTCTGGTTTACACTGGATATGGGGTGTGTGGTTATAGCTGTGGGAGGTGCAGCGCAAGCCATCCATGGTCCCTCTGTAGGCGCAGGCGTCCTGTGGCTTGCCACATTGACAGGCAAATCCGAAACCGGATGCCGCCAACCATGGGTAACAAGATCACCGTCAGGACATTACACACATGCGTATATCGGAGGAAAATGCTGCACAAATATTAAACTACCACAGCAACCACCGCATGAATAACAAAAAGGAGCTGCGCTCAAGACTCATTCAAGCCAGCGGCAACCGAAGGCTAGAAGAGAACCACCTATACCGAGTATTTCATAAGAACGATTTTGCGGAAATCTTCATCAAAAGAAGCTTAAGGAAACAAAGCGTTCACCAACAACAGCAGTCACCAGAGCAAACAAACAAACGAAAGTGTTGCCACAAATTAATAATTTCTCTAAACTAACAGGGCGGCTACTATAGTTACACGAAATCTCGGGTGGCCAAAAACCAACTACCACAGTAGGAATACTGATTTCCAAGGCTAAAGATAAAGTGTATCAGATTAACCAGAACAATGTTATCTTCCTAATAACATGCAACAAATGTGACAAGATCTAAATTAGGTAAACTGGTAAAGAGCTTCGTAACCGGGTCACGGTGCACAAAGTTGATGTAAGAATACATGATGCAAATACGCTGGATTTCCCACTTGAAGGTCGGGAAGGTCACTACTTTGATCTGGGAAATGTGAAGATTCTGCTACATGGGTGTACAAAACCTGCGAATGATTTCCTGGATGCGTGGCACTCCACAACTGATTCAATTAACCGGCACCTTGAACTGGAAGCTTGAAACCCATACCTACGTTCGACGGAACGTCACCCAAAGGATTAAATCCGGTGGGTCAGCAAACCAGACAAACGGAAAGTACGACGTATTTGAGCACTGGAGTAAGCAGGCAGTCACAAAGCACAAATCGCAGAGTTCAAGGTCAAAGGTCAACCACGTGTCCAACGTGCTTAGCACGATCAGATGTCCCAGCCAAATGGGTTGCTGATCTCCGCTAACAAACATGAGAACATATAGAAACGCACGTGCACTCTCGTCAGGGCTTCCCGAAGCTACGCTGCTGGTTACACGCTACACAACAACGAACTGATTATGCCATCTTGATTAATAGGGGAACGTTTGCAACAACCTGCTAAGCACAGCGGGCAGTTAGATACTTCAGTAAAAGAAGCTGAGCCACCAATTTATTGCTTATTCCATTTTAACTGCTATGTTGGGAAAAGCACCTTGAAATTTTAACCAAATATTTGATTTCTATACCAGGCAATAATCAATAAAACAGTGCAAAACACTTAATTGCTAGGAGACGGCAGCAAGTAAGTGATGTATGAAGTTCACCTAAACAAACTACAAAGCATGATTCCTGTTTTTGTCTTCAACCTTCCTGGTGACAATCTGGCAAAATATGATAATTCTCACATCAAAGGAGCTAATCCAAGGATAAAGACGCTGATGGAGAAGTAGTGTCGAAGATCAACATTTGTTTCAAAGGAGGAATATGGTGGTTTAGTCAATATGCCAGTCTCAATTTATAGCGAAGTTGGTGCAGAGACGGCTTGCGAGCGACAGTAAAGATAGATGTGAGAAAATAATATTTGCGCGGATCAAGTTCTCAAAAAATAATAGGTTACATTAAAAATAAATAGTGGGAGCTTGAGAAAAGCGAAAGCAAATATGACCGCTTAAGTGTCTGAAGAGCACACAGAGGTAAAACCTGTACAGGTGACAACAAATGAGAATGGTGTATTTCAGCAGGCAAACGGTTAATACAGGTGTTTTGGTTGCGCACATGCTTGCGTAATAGAAGTGAAGTTACTTACGTGAATCCATAGATAGCAGTAATGAACTGGTTTGATGTTTCAGACAAAGCTTTAAAATAAACGCTTTGCACGTATTCGCTTTCATAAAACTAGTCCACTTAGATTGCGTTTGCACAAGCACTATTCTTTCGAGTTATAACAAAAGCACTTCATGTGCTTATTATGCCTAATCCCAATGACTGTTGCGTTCATGGTAATGACACGACAAGCCTTCATACGGGAGCGAATGTACGCCAAAAATACTGTCATGTCACCTCGCATGGGGGTGAAACGCATGCGATCTCCTAACCAAGCTCGGAAAAACGATCAACAGGTGCCAGTGCTTTTTTTTAGAAAATCACATTGCCTTATCCCGGAAAATGATAATATTGCATGATTCCGATGAAGCAGAGGCGCAAGCAATTCTACTTTAGATAATATTTTATATTATATATCACAAATGACTATATCTGGTATCTCTGTCATTCAATTATGTGCTATACAACTCGAAGGATATAGGCCTACGCCGTAGTTGATGGACAGATGCGGATAACTCGGGCCGTTAACAGTGCCCTCCCATATCACTAACCTCTGTTAATTTATCTATGTCATATATGTAGGTATAAAGTCGGAGCTAGTTCATCACTGTCTACCCTTCGTCAGCTGGCTATGACTAGTCTGGAACTGGACCAGACTCCGGCGTTACGACCTTTTGAGTCTCAACCGTGGTGCGCCTTGGATCCGACCACTGCTGGTTTCCTTCCACTTGACTTCCGGCTAATAGCAGCTAGTGTAACTTCGCAATGGGTGACAGCCGCGGATTTGAATGATAGACAGTTTTCTATTATAAAGACCGGCTTACATTCAACTGCGTTGCCAGAAACGAACTGGCGCGTGGGACTAAATGTCACCCTCGGCATATTTCGATAATTTTACAACAGTTGAAGACAAGCTACGCTTTAACACAGTACATGGTCAATTAGTTAGACTGAGGGCCGCGCCCATGGTAAAATCTAACTAGCTGCTGGCATCCGGAAGTAGTGGGGGTTAGGATCAGACAGAATTGTACGATAAAGCACACCAATGACGAGACCCATAAGGTCAAAACACCGGCGGCTGATGTTCTTCCAGTCTAGCCAAAGCCTGAGGGCTAAGCTTGGATGGTAATGAACATCCTTAACTAGTGCAAAATCCAACAGTCATTAGGGATTCTTACACTGAAATCTTTTATACCTCCACTTGGAATCGAACCCACCAAATTCCTATGACGAGAGCTAGTTTCGACTAATAGTGCATAGCGAAAACTACAGCGCTGCGTCTCAACAACTTGGAGACATTTAAATAAGTCCAAATTAAAGAACGTTCCAAGAATAAGAAGCATAAATCAAAGTGAAAACTGTAGAACTTACCCTGAAAATTTCGAGGCTTGTATAAAAGCAGGATGATTGATAATAATGAAAAAATAACCTCACAAAAAGAACAAAAACAAAAAGTGTACAACCAAAACGTAAAACTGTATTGGTGCATAGAAAAAAGAAATTAAAGGTCCTAAAATAGTCAAAATGAACTATTGACATCACAGGAAGTTAGAAGCAAGGAACCAGTGGAACCATAAGGACACAAGAGAGATTAACCAAAGCCTAGTTACATTTAAACCAAAAAAGTAATATATGCAAACCGTGAAAATCAATAACCAAAATTTCGCATCTACCAGAGTTTAGAATCCACTAAAACCCAAGATTGGTTTTAAATAGTACGCATTCTTAGCAACCACAAAAAACAAGCATGGGGACAAAGCGGTATCCCATAGAAGCTAAACGGATGTTGTCCATCAATATAAGGTGCATCAAAGACGTCGTTTTGTTGGTTTTTCATAATAGTACAGTTTGGGCAATGGTAATAACCGTCACACATAAAGCACTTCAACGACATGATTTATGTGATCTATCAGAGAGAAATTGGAACAGAATTTCTATCATTTTTATAATGTACACTCTCCGTTTCACAATCATTTCTGCATAGGAGTACGTCACTATCTAACGCATTGAGAACTAACTCCATCTTGCAACTTAGTTAAAGTCAATAGCAACGTCACAGAGTTTTTTTTACCTAAGTCACTAACAGGTAGCACTTCTGTCGAAAATATCAATGACATTATTTTAAGATGCACAATGATCTGGTAAATTTTGATAACGGCAACCATCAGCTTGGAAAGCTTTTACTCAAAACTAAATTCAGAATCACGCCTGCAAGCAACTGCGGAAATTTGCCATCCTTACCATGAATTTAACAAACCTAAAACCCGCGTTTAATATTGGCAACGAGAGAGTTGTTTTCAAAGCCACTATTTCTGCAATGCTTTCGATTCCTCTATATCTAGTTATAACAGAGGACACCACAACCACCGGGACGGGTACAACGCCAGTCAAGACTGCCCCAATTAGTACAAGGAAAAACAATAATGAAGGTGAGTGGTATTTTCTTCTATTATTTTTTGTAAACCCTTGTATGATAAGCTGTATAGGAAAATTTCGTCGTCAGCAAAAATCCCATTCTGAAATCGTGGAATCAAATTGCATCAGCCGGACGGCAGAAGAGGACGGCAACGTTTGCTGGGAAATTACATCAAAACGTTTGTTATTACAAATGGTGTCCTGTGCTTCACTACAGTACATTTTCCAATCTGCCTTCATAGCCAGTTGGTCACTGAACATTTTTTACTTACCAACATCATCTACCATGCCTGCTTTGACTGCTTGCTCTCAATGTTAGATTGGTTTACTCGTAAAAGACCATGATGTTGCCCGACTAAGTGAAGCTACGTATATTAACTATCATTTTTCTACTTGGGATTCTTACCACAGAAGGACTGTAGTCTTATCCTTTACAAATAATCCCATAGGCGTTTGCTTTTTGCTAGTTTGTGGCCATTTTAAGTGGCGATGTCATATAAACTTCATAATCTGTTTCTGTAGTTCATGGCCAAATAGTGATGTAGCAATGTATAGTTGAATTTTCAACAACTAGATTTCGGCGCCGAGATACCTCAATCAAGATATTAGAGAAATTTGTTCACTGCGTTCACACCCCTCGTGCATCGGAATCAATGATCTTGCTTGCACGTCAACAATATTCTTCAATGAATCATTCAGTTGTAAGTATACCATCAGAGATTAGTGGCACCACCGTACAAACAAGAGCAGTAGCAATTTCAGAAGCCGTTGCCTCCACACTTACAACTTGCGGTGAATTAAACGCAATGGCAATTACAAAGCGTCCCATCCCATTGAAAACTGCAAACTAAAACTTTGGTCTCGTGAATTAATATTTCTACATTGTTTCTTTAATGCTTTTATATTTTCCCAACATGCATTTAAACATATCGCTTTATTTTTCGTGTGCTTACAAGCTCAAATTAGATGTAGAACGTAGCGAACAAGCCTGTTTCCAGTGTACCTACATCAGGCTAGTACAGCCACATCTATGTAAGTCAGAAATGTAAACGTGGGTTGTAGGTGTCAATAGATTAAAATATCGCATCAACAAAGCTATCTGCGTAGCCCCGACCTCTGTGGAGTCGGGGGGGGGGGGGGAAATGGCTTGTTAGGTTTGCTTACTTTTGTTAGTCCGGGGCCAAGGTCGACGGAGGGTGCGCATAAAATACTTACGTGCGCCGAATTGCAATTGCCGTTGCTATCGATAGCAATCGATAAGCAATCAATATCTGATGCATCCTCTCCTTGTGCTTTTCATTTGTTCGATGAATAACAGCGCTAAATCTATGGTGACTTGCAGCAACTCGACTACGAAAAATAGTTACTTTGAGGCAACGTCCAGGAATACCAAAGCCACTAATTAAGCAGCCAGCTACCTGCCAATTCCGTATGACTGCTTCCGAATTAATTTGTATCAAGTTCAGGAAGTTTTGTGCTTACGAGCGTTATATCTGTGGTTTCACCTAATGGTCATAGCATAGTGCTGTGGCGACTAGTGCTGTTATAAGGGAAATGGATCCACTTAGCATTAGTCATGTAATTGACACATTTCTGTCAATATCCATTGCATGTGCAGCGGTCAAAACAGCCATGACATTTATAGAATTGCCGGACAATTGCTGCGGCACCAATTGTTGGATTTTTGTTCCAGCATTTTAACCAGTTTGATAGCTCTTACTAGAGGTACTTTGGATACGCTTATGCTCGTGGAATAGAACTGAACATACTGATGTGTATCCATAGAACTTAGTGATGGATTGGTTGGATGTTTCAAACAAAGATTTGAAAGAACTGCTTCAACGATGCCTAGTGCATATCATCGCTGTTATAACATGAGTTACATGAGAATGTGTTTGTACAAACACTGCAATTTTTCGCTACAGCAAAACAATTTCGTGTCCGAAATATGCTTAACTGCAGAGGCGGAAGTGCCTTAAATTCGTAATAGTGAATGTGCATAGCTAACTTGTGGGACGCAAAAGCAAGCAGTAGAGGGTCAAAACGGTGTTAGTAGACCCAATCGTGGCCATTTTTCGGCGGGTTATATAGACTGAGGCTGAGACTATATTTAAGAGCTAGTAGAAAGGTTTCTGTACAACTCTAACGAATTAAGGGAAATCAAAAACATTTTGTTGTGAATCATCAGCCGTTGTGTTTGATCCGTTAATCGTTTTTTTTCGGTAAGGTATTTGTATTAGTGTCATTAATTCCGGGGATCCGATGTCTTCTTTTGGCATTGTATGTTCATCGTTTCATAAAGCCACAGGTTTCCGAAATAATCGTCCATACGGGTTTTAAAACTCTTCACAGAATCTGCCTCCATTAATACTTCTGGAAGTAAATTCCAAAATTGTACGATTCATCGTTCGATCCAAAGCTGATGTGATACTTTTTTCATGCTGGGACCCATGAGTTTGTAACGGTGTCCTCAGGTGTTACAGAGTTCCCGCAGATGAAATATTGGCCACAGTATGCTGAAGTGATTTAAGTGTAGTACTCGATGGCTCATAATATGGTCAATTCTTATTCGGCGATAGGATAGTGTGTAGAGTCCGAGATTTTCACAACCTTTTTCACACGGAAGCTTTTGTAAACTCGGTATCATTCTAGTTGCGATATGCTGTATTTTCTCCAGCTTTTCATTTTCCCTTTGGGTTATCGGATGGTAGCTGGGGTACCGTATTCAAGCATTGGTCTAATGAGCGAGGTGAATGCACCAAGGACAGTTTCTTCGGACCATGTGGAGAAACCGCGTCTTAATGCCCAGAGCATATGAAGTCCCGCACGGTACAATTTCTCTGTAGTTTCTAGTGATCTCATATCATGTAGTGAGAGAACTCCTAAGTCCCTGACAGATGTGTGGAATGGAGCAACTGGCCGTCCAAGTCGTATGATCGAGTGGCTGGACGTCTGGTGATAAAGATGAAATCCCACTTGCTTGCTTTAAGAGGGAGTTGCATTTCAGTGGACCACGATGACATTCGCTCTAAGCCATGCTGGGGGCGAGGGCAGTCGTCCTGATTCTAAAGGACTCTCCAGTTTTTTAAGTCATCTGCAAACAGGGCACATGGTGACTAGAGCTGCTACGGAAGATTGTTGATATGAATAAGAAATAATACGGGCCCAAATACAGTTCCTTGAGGCACGCCACTAGTCGATGGGAACCACTCTGTTCACTAGTCATTGACCTGTACTCTAAACTTTCGTCCCATAATAAACTCGTGTAACCAGTGAAGTAACGTGCCACCGATTCCGTATGTCCTTATTTTACGAAGGAGTACCTCGTGTTTCACTACGTCAAATGCCATGCCAAAGTCGATGTACACCATGTCAACATCCTTCTGTTCATTGAGAGCTCGAACCCACTGGTGGTTTGCGTACATCAAGTTGGTGATGCAGGATCGCCCTTTCGTAAAACCGTGTTGCGCTGGCGTTAATACGCCTGTCGATTCAGAGAACGACAGCAGACCCATTTTCACAACCTCGAGAACTCTGGATAATACCGAAGTCAAACAGATCTCTCTGTATTTCTCTATGTTACACGGATCACCACCCTTGGGAACCGGTCCCACTATCAACCATTTCCAGGCATTCGGGACAGATTCTTCAGAGAGCGATTTATTGAAAAGGTTTGTCACCGCTGTTGAGATGCTAACTAACTAAATAAATAAATAAACGTTTTATTCCTCAGCATTGCGAGGCACAGACTAATTGGATGGTCTTAGCAACATGTACAACGTGATCGCATAATATAGTTAATTATTCGTCTTTTGATCAATAGTTCCCATATGGGTTTTTGAATTGATAACTGTTTGGAAAATGTAGAGAGATAAAGAAACTGGGAACAAAAATAAATGTAGATTTCATGGAAAGTTCAAGTAAAGTAATACGGTCACTCATGGAACTGTCCCCAGGTGGCTTGCTTCCATGCAGGTTATTTCCACAATGCGTTTCACCCGCACTTCCATGCTCCATTTGGCCCTATGCCTGTGTGGCAAGATAGTAAATAGGTCATCAGAACTGGGTATCAAATGTCATTTTTATGGCTGTTTTATGCATACATTATAGGCGATGAAGCTTCAGCCCGTTCTGTCGTGCGGATCAATCACTTATGGCACTATTTTGTTTTAAGCCAGCAAGTCAGTAATAATATTATTTGCATGGGTATACTTTTTATTTTGGAAGCTGTAATCCATCACCACAAGAGATCAGTCCAGTCATGACCAACAGTGGAACAAAGAAGATAAGTATGAGAAATTATAAGACATAATGATGAGTACGAACGCTTCCGATAGGCCCGTCGCAATTTGATGGAAAATCTTGGCGAGTGACGACGATGGTACAGAGAAATCAGCTAGAAAGGCATGGTGCAGCTACGAACCAATACGTTAAAGGGGAAAACAGAATTGGTTAGACGGATTGATAGGAGTAAGGTCGTTCTTAAATATATACTCAAGAATGCAACTATATGTAGATAATCTTATATTATTGAAACGAATAGATGATATGGTGACTTTCATATGTATCCAGGACGTTTCTCATACAAATCATCTAGAGTCAACGTTTGGCTTAGTGTTGACCAGATATTTGCAACAGTCAAGTGAATATTAATCATGCGTCTGAATTGTGGATAGGTAGTGCAGTTTCTAACACTCGATGGAAGTTTGTTCCATATTAACGCATATTTTACGGAGAAAAATTTGAGCGGGGCTTTGTACGTGACTGGTATTTTTAGAGTGCGCTCGCTGTTTCTTAATTCATAGCGCATACGAGTCTAAAACTCGAGTTGTGGCTGAGCAGTGAAGCTTAACCCAAATAGTAAGCGGTATATAAGGCACACATTAAGTATGATTCTGCGTAGCCATAGCGACTCCAGTTTTAGCGCCTCACAACACTCACGCTATGTCATAGTAGTAGGCATGTTCAAATACCTTTTTGTGAATGATCGTCAAATGTTTTCTAGTGATATTAT